TATATTTTGTATATATAACTAATATATATATATATATTTATATATTATTTTTAATATATTATATATATATATATATGTTAGTTATAATTATTTTTATTTTAATACGTATATTATGTATGTATATAAATTTAATTATATATGCATTAGTAATGATATATATATATATATATATATTGTAGTTATATGTATATGTTTTTATTAATTATAAATAATTTTATTTTTAATATATATATGTATTTGTATATATATGTGAATTAATATGTATATATTAATTTAATTATATGTAGATAAAAATTTGGATAATAAATATTTTTTTTGCTGAGTCAGCAGTTTTTTGCTGAGTCAACAGGTTTTTTTGCTGAGTCAGTAGTTTTTTTGTTGAGTCAGCAATTGCGTTTAATGACGTTAACGGATGAGTGTTTGATTTGGAAAAAATTTAAAAGTCTGGGTATTTATGTGAGAGTTATGAAATGTTCAGGTATTTATATAATAATTTTATAGTTCAAGTATTTATTTAGGATTTTTGTAAAAGTTCGGGCATTTTTATGTGATTATCTCTATAATTTAAATAAAAGAATTATAAAAAAAATATTTTACCTCATTTCATCACAAAAAGAAGAAGAAGAAGAATCTAATGTGATTTTTTGGTGATAAGTATTCTAAAAAATTAGTGGATTTATAAATATTAAGATTTTTTTTAGTTTTAGAAATGAATATGAGGGATTTTCTCTCCCCCACCCCCAAAAAAAAACGAAGTTTGTTTTAAAAATAATTCTTTTGAGAAATCAAATAACATTTTTTTTTGGGTGAAATTTAGGTTTGATAGAAAATACAACTTCAGAAAACCCTTAATGTCACAAATTTTATTCATCTTATATCCTCGCCTAACGCAACATATACATATATATATATATAGTGGTGTTTTCAGATGCAAGTCATTTCCCTAATCCGAGTCGATACTTGAATTAGGGGTGTCAATTTGGATCTGAGGTCCGAAACTCGACGCAGTCCACCTCAAAAATTAATGGATTTTAAGCCTAAATTTTTCGGTAAAAAAAAATCGGATTTTCTAATACATCACTTCGGTCCCTTTCTCGATGGATCCTTGGACTCCTTTAGGTACTCTAATACATCACTTCGGTCTCAGGGCCTGCACAACTAGGGATTCCTTTGCATGCCAAGCTAACCGATGTTTATCAAGATGCAGGGTGGACTATACTCCATCCGAGGAGTGACAGCCAACTAGCTCTAGCAACTCATCTATCAGGGATCCCACTAAACAATTCTAGCGACATACACTAGTGGGTATAGGAAGATAATATTATTAGAATATTATCATTGATATGATTATGATTTACTCTAGATATTATGACTAGAATATTCTATTGTATTTTTTTATATATTATGCTTAGAACATCGTCGTAAAAAAAAGTAGCACATCGGCTAGAGTTGACGGTGATGAGTACCACCGTCGGAAAAAAAAAAAAGACAAATCTAGAACAAAAACCAGAGTTCTGATATCATAATAGGGAAAATGTTTTTCTATTATTGATAATGAGAAGAATACATCATAATATATAGAAAAATACAATAGAATATTCTAGATATAATATATAGGGCAGGAGCGGATCCATTTACATTTGAATGGGGTCCTATGCCCCCATACAAAATTTTATTTTAGTTATATTTTTATAAAATTTTAATGAAAAATGTGACATGACCCGTCAAAATTTGTTGTGTGCCCCCTCATTCTTCTTTATTTCTTTTTTTTAATAACTTTTTTCATTATTTGCCCCCACTAATTATTTTCTCTGGGTCTACCACTGATCTAGGGTAAATCATAATCATATCAATGATAATATTCTAATAATATTATCTTCCTATAGTGGGTAGTTCGAGGTATTCCTATGCACCGCTTCTCGTCTAAATCTATTTGGAATGGGTTTCGTGATTCAACTTAGAATGTTTCTTGGTCCAAGGTGGTTTGGTTCAAGCAACGTATTCCGAGACATGCTTTTCTATATGGCTATTCGTGCTCAACAGAAATCCCACGAAAGACAGGATGGTCTCTTGGGGATGCAATACTTCTCCCCATGTGCAGTTTGTGCAACTCCTCCTCAAAATCTCGGGATCACATCTTTTTTGAATGCCAATTCACATCAGACATATGATTGACTGTGTGTAGACGGATGGGAATCACTAATCCTCCTAAGACTTGGCACCAAATTCTGAATTGGCTACTTGATGAATGGCATAACACAACTTCATACACCGGTCCTTTTGGTTTGACAATGTTTGATATATATATATATATAATATGGAAGGAAAGGAACATGCGCCTCCATGGATAACTGTTTTCTTGTGATAGCGCATTACTCAAGGAGCTTGACAAGATAATTCGTACCAAATCCGCAGCCATTCGCCTCCACAACCTATCACTCGTTAGTTCACTATTGCAGACATGGTTTCTGAGAATTTTTTTATAGATGATTCATTGTATCTTTGGTTCCAATTGTGTTAAGAAAATCTCTTTAACACCATATACCTAAATTTCTTTAATACAAAAATACCTTTTACCAAAAAAAAAAACATTAAACTATTTCAACCCTTTAAATAGATTTAAATTAATAAATATTTATATTATTTTATTAAGATAAAAAAATCTTTTGGTGTTTGTTTCCTTCCAAAATGATTTAATATCAGAGTTTTAACTAAAAGATTAATGTTTAAAATGCGGTATTTAAAATATAAGATTCGTTTTTGTTTTAATAGAAAAGGGACAAGGTTTAAGAATAAAATTATTCCATATAAAATTCATGTGAGCCATGTACACTTGGCGAAATTTTGTAACATCTAAGAATATACCAACGAATATCACATGAGCTGTCTAACTTCATATTTAATTTCACTATATAATATAGTTCATTAATTAGCGCGTGCACGACACCGCCCACATCGACCGGCCACGCATCTCTCGTAATAGTCCACCACAAGATCATTTGCTACGATGTTTCTTCCCAAAAATTGTGACCAGTGCAAGAATCATGTAAAAGTACGAGACCTTTGATCTATTGAATTGATATACAATTATTCACAATGGATATCCAAATTACAGATATTAATGAAACTTCCAAAAGGGTCCAAAATATGCGAAAAGATATTAAAGTTTATGAATATTTGATTATTTAAAAATAAATAAATCAGTCGATTATTTTTTTTTTTTAAAAAGCCATTCATGTTCTTCCTTTTCTTGTATAGCACGGAAGGTTGGGGAAACTTACGCAGAATATAATAAAATTAAAAAACAGATGAAAAAGAAAGAAAAAAACGCAAGTATCTTAGTTCTCCTTTTTTGTGTTTGGACATATATTAATATCCATTCTACCAATATATAAATAACTACTAAATCTTCATTTTTTTAAACTAGTTTTCGTGGTGAAATTTGTTTCATAGTTACAAACTATTTCTAATAAATCGATATAAAAATGCTTTTAATTACATAGAGCAACAAAATATAAATTAAATCTTTGGAAAATAGAAACTAGGTGATAAATATTATAAGATAAAATGTAAACCAATTATCGAGATTATGGATCTTATTGTAAAATACTTAGGGATGGGTATTTCGGTTCGGTTCTTCGGAATCAGACCGAACCGAATCGAAAAAATGGTACTTTTTCCGACCCGAAACCGTTCTCAATTCCCGAACGGTATTATTTTTAAAGAACCGAATTTTTCCGGAACCGAACTTTAAAAAATTTCGAAAAACTGAATATTTTTAAAAAATCCATCTTTTTTTAATAAAACCCAGAAGCGAACCGAACCGATACCGAAATCTAACTGAACCGAACACAATATAAAAACCGATTGGTACCTATTTTTGTAAAACCGAAAAAACCGAACCGTTTTATTCCCGTCCCGAACCCGAACCGTTTTCCGAAATACCCACCCCTAAAAATACTATAATAGATGAATATGGTGTCGTTGAGATAATTGTAATGATTTTTTTTTAATTTTCGAAAATATAAAAAGAGGAGAATGGAGGCATTTTTAATTGGAAAGACTTCGAGACACTTGTGATGAAGAGTACACTTTATCGTTTGGGATGAACTGGAGCCATGAATGTGGTGCGGTTGGCATCTATTCTTTTTCCTCGATATCTTTTTTTTTTCTTTTTTGTTTTTAAATTTCATTTCATTTTAATTTATTATTTATTTATTTGGGGTGCTCTCTCCACCAAAAGTTTCACACGGCAATGTTTAACCAGTCGCATACGAGCGCGTTCATTGCACGCGTCGTTTATGACCGTTTAATCCTTTTCAGTAATACAAATGAACTTGTGTGTATTTATAAGAAAATCATCACACACTTTTTGAATTTTAATATTTCGATAATAATTTAAAAATTAAAATTTATTTTGACATCAAAGTTTTTAAAAAGTAACCTATTTATCTAAAACTTTATATAATATAGAAATTGAATTACAATATATTTATATAATTAGAGAAAATACATTAAAATTTTTCTTATTTATTATTCTATATAATTTTTTAAATCATAAGAAGTTAATACTTACAAAAAATAATTATAATTGAAAACAAAATAAATGCTCACAACGTTTGTTGAAAAAAAACGTTTTATTCTTTTTAGTTAAAATTTAGTGAATAATTTCGAACTAATCAAATAACTTAAATAATTTTGAAATTTTCTAGAGTTTTACAATAACAGGTCGAGTATTTTGGATATTTTGTTATTAGTTAAAAGAATATTAATAAAAAAACCATAAAAAACGTCAGATAGATATCGCAACAAAAAACTATACGTTTTCCGTTTCGAGATTAACATTTAAAACTAATATTTATAAATTCAAATTATGTGAAACGTTTGAATAAAAAAATGGGCAAAAACCTTAGTGGAAGAAAAACGGACAAATTAAATTTACAATTGCACAGATCATACATTTTAAAATTACATTTAATAGAAAGCTCGATATAGGGAGACATTTAGTAAAACAAAGATTCTCACGAAAGGAACACCAAATGGTATAAAAAAAATTAAATTTTCCCTAACTTAATTTGTGTTTTTCCTGTTTCCTTGGAACCGAGTGAAACGTAAGCTCACACGCTAAAGAAGCGCGTGAAGTCAAAACTCGAGACTTGGTCGGAATATTGACATTTGACGCCGACGACAGGAAACCCCAACCCTAAGGCTACCAATTCCACAACTTGTTCTCTCTCTCTCTCTCCTTCTCTTACCTTTTACGTTTTCTCTGCAACCAGACACGGCATTTCAGCAAAAGAAGCCAACCCAACAAAAGACAGACAAAGCTTCTTCGCGTCACATTTCCTTCTTCCCACAAATCCTTGTCTGAATCGTTGCCTCGAAGCGTTATTCCTCTGTTTTCGTGTTGTTCTTTTTGTTCAATTTGTTTATTGTTCTGTAGTGTTTTCTGGGTCGATTCTTCTGTTCCATTGATGGGGAAGCCGACAGGGAAGAAGAAGAACTTGGAAGCTACGAAGGCCAGCGATTCCGCCGGAGTCGGAAAGCTTCCGGGGAAAGCCTCCGACCACCGGACGGCGAAAATTTTCGACGAAGACACCGAAATCTTCATCAGCAGGTCGCAGGAGCTCAAAGACGAAGGCAACAAACTCTTCCAGAAGCGCGAATACGACAGTGCTAAGTCAAAGTACGAGAAAGCACTTAAGCTCTTGCCCAAGAACCACATAGATGTAGCTTCCTTGCGCACGAACATGGCGGCTTGTTATATGCAGATGGGTTTAGGAGAGTACCCTAACGCCATTAACGAGTGCAACTTGGCCCTCGAGGCTTCTCCTAGGTATAGCAAGGCTCTGCTGAAGAGAGCTAGGTGTTACGAGGCTTTGAACAAGTTGGATTTGGCTTTTAGGGATACTAGGGTTGTGTTGAACTTTGAGCCTAACAATTTGTCTGCTAATGATATGTTCGAGAGGGTGAGGAATGCGTTGGTGGAGAAGGGCGTTGATGTTGATGAATTGACTAAGAATCTGGTTAATGTCCAGCCGGTTACACGCTCTCGTAAGTCAGTGAAGGAGGATTTGAAGAAGAAGAAGAAGAAGAAGGAGCAGAAAGTTGAAAAGGAGGAGAGGGAAGATGTGAAAGAGAGAGGGGAAGAGAAGGTTGAGGAGAAGAAGCTGCTGGAAGATAATGCCATTGTAAGAGAGAAGAAGAAACCGGGAAAGAAGAAACCGGTAGATAAGGCCGTTGTAACGGAGAAAAAGGCTAGAACTTTAAAGGATAAAGAAGTGATTACCACGAAGAATGCCATTGGAGAAGCCGAAGAAGTTACCAAAGGTGTAAATAATGAGGAGAAATCGGTGGCTAGGACGGTGAAGTTGGTTTTAGGAGAGGATATAAGGTGGGCTCAGTTGCCTATGAATTCTAGCATCAGGCTGGTGAGGGATATTATCCGGGATAGATTTCCGGGTTTGAAGGGCGTCCTAGTGAAATATAGGGACCCGGAAGGTGATTTGGTCACAATCACTACGACAGACGAGCTCAGGTTGGCTGAATCCTCTGGTGATTCTGGAGGCTCTCTTAGATTGTATATAGCCGAAGTAAGTCCTGATCAAGAACCAGCTTATGACGGGGTGATCATCGAGGAACAGAGGCCGAGTAGCATTTCGGAGAATTGGAGTGGAAGGGAGAGTGTGGAATCCGAAAAGGGCTCTCCTTGCATCGAGGATTGGGTCGTCCAATTCGCCCGAGTGTTCAAGAACCACGTCGGGTTCGATTCAGATTCTTACTTGGATCTCCACGAGCTCGGCATGAAGTTTTATTCAGAGGCAATGGAAGATACCGTTACGTGTGAGGATGCCCAAGAACTCTTTGATATAGCTGCTGATAAGTTCCAGGAAATGGCAGCTCTGGCCATGTTCAATTGGGGAAACGTCCACATGTCAAAGGCGAGGAAACGGGTACTAATTTCCGAAGATGGTTCAAAAGAATCTATTCTGAATCAAATAAAATCAGCATTTGAATGGACACAACAGGAGTATGGCAAAGCTGCAACTAAATATGAAGAAGCCTTGAAGATCAAACCCGACTTCTATGAAGCTCTTCTCGCTCTTGGGCAACAGCAGTTTGAGCAAGCCAAGCTTTGCTGGTACTATGCGACGGGAAATAAGACTCATTTGGAAAGTGGACCTTCCCAAGAGGTCTTACAGCTCTACAATCGGGCTGAGGACAGCATGGAGAGAGGTATGCAGATGTGGGAGGAAATGGTGGAACGACGTCTGAATGGACTGTCTAAGCACGATAACTACAAATCTCAGCTGCAGAAAATGGGCTTCGACACACTGATTAAAGAAGCAGCTGCCGAGGAATTTGCAATGGAGCAAGGCTCGAATATGAGTTCTCAGATATACCTCTTGTGGGGCACGCTCCTTTACGAGCGTTCCATTGTGGAGTACAGACTTGGCCTACTGACATGGGAAGAGTGTTTAGAAGTCGCTGTTGAGAAGTTTGAACTGGCTGGAGCTTCTCCCACCGACATAGCTGTTATGATAAAGAATCACTGCTCAAACGAAACCACACATGAAGGTGACAGAGCTCGTTATTACCTGATCCCTTTCTTTTGTCGTTTCGTCCTGTTTCTTTGAATCGTCGATAAGTGGCTTGCTGTAATGAATCTGTGTTGTGATCGTTGCAGGAATGGGGTTCAAGATCGATGAAATAGTTCAGGCATGGAACGAGATGTATGATGCTAAGAGGTGGCAGATTGGTGTCCCGTCATTTCGGCTGGAGCCCTTGTTCCGTCGCCGTGTTCCAAAACTCCAACATGTCCTGGAACACATCTCAGCATTGCACTAAAGTCAGTGAAGCATAATAGATAGTTTCAGCTTGCATTTGTTTTCTGGACGAAAACTTCCAGCCATTACAGGTAATAAGACCCGTTGCTTGATATGGACTACTGAACCCAACTCTTCATTTGCAAATTTTTCTTCTGTTCTTGGTAGATTGCATATAAGATCATAAGCTATATTCTTAAACCCTTAATGCCATACAGAAAGTGTAGGATGAAGAACACTGGATTCTTGATTATGTGAAAACAGATTATTGGATTCTTTGATGAATTTGAGCATTATTATATGTTTATAAAAGAGATCCATGTTCTGTCAGAGGGATATCTACATATATCCCATTGTCATGCTCATGCCTAGGGCATCTAACATGTGGGTTCTCATCCTTGTACTTTAAATGCAGGTATATTTGTTTGTTCCTTGCCGGATTGGGTTTGACGTTTTGCCAGTTCTTTGTCCGGTGGCAAAGGGCCGGAGTCTTTTGCAGAAGTTTCCGTCCTCAGAATCGGAAACTTCTGGAACCATGTCGCATACACCATGCAGAAAGTTTGTCCCTTTTGAAGTTATCAGATTCATAAACCTATATCATATTGGATTGGTATAATAGTTCATTCTTAGCAAGCAAGGTGGAGGCCCTGTCTTGTTTGTTTCACAGGACACAGAGGTTCATCATCAGTTATTTATGTTTCACTGTTGTGTCTGCCTCTGCTCTCTTGGTTTGGTCATATTTATGAAAATTCCACACATTTTTTTCCTTTTGTCGCGTTTGAAATGTTGTATTCAAATACTTTTGATTCTTTGGCTTACTTTTTGTAAACGATTGTTTCAGTTTGTTCATTCGGTTTTTTTCTTCACTCTTTTTTTTTCTTCTGCTGCTGCTGGATTGATTCCCATGTTGTGTGAACACTGCGTTAAAAAACTACGCGCAGTTGCCTTATATAAGATTGAAACTACAAGATGTGCATACGTTTTCCCGAAAAACCAGAAGGAATCTATTATTTTTACGTTTCGGTTTTGACGTTTTCTTAAAACCCTTATTGACAAAGATGGAATGCATTTCGTGGAGAAAGTAAAAAAAAACGACACGAATTTTGCCCCGTCTTGCTCTTTACGTCACGAAATGCGAACCGTCTGAATTATCCCTAAACGGCAGCGTTTTGTTATTTTTTAAAATATTTCCTCTCTTCTCTCTCTTTTTTTTTTTTTGGTGGATCACTTTAAGTCTTTTTGGTAAGAGTGCAAGGCAAGAGGGGAATATTCGGCAAAGTGTTCGCCATCGGAGCGAAGCTTAATTTCTCCGGGAATCGGAGATTCTCTTCGTTCATCTCTCGGAAAATTCCGTGTCGTTTCCTTGGTTCAATTTCCCTCGAACGAATCTGGGAAATCAATGGCCACAGTGAGAAAGGCTTCGCATGCAGGCTCTTGGTACACCGATGATTGTAAGCTTCAGTTTTACTTCCAATAAGCTTCATCGTGTTCAATTTCGAAGGAATTTCGTATGCCTTTTCCGTGATCTTGTGTTCTTTAGCTGGGACAGCAAAGAGACTGCTCTTTTAGTGAGAAATCCCCAATTGAAAGACAGTCTCATATGCTAAGGATCATGTTTGTGAGCTATAGGATACTAGAATCAGTAGAATCATGTCTTTTTTGAGTTACTGCCATCTCAAATTTCACGTATTAGAGATTTAATAGTGTTATGCACACCAAGTGGGGTTGTGCATTTGCGTTGCTTTGGAGTAACTACTCTAAGTCGAATCTGATTGTCTCGATGTTGGGTTGTTAACTTTGCGAGAAAATTGTGTAATCGTATCCGAAATGGGTTCTGTTTGTTCGACTTGCTCAGCGACTGAGTTGGCTGAAGAGCTCGGGAAATGGCTCGAAGCCACGGGATTGGCTAAGTCACCGGACGTACGGGGTGTGATTGCTCCGTAAGTTGTTTACGCATTTCAGTTTTTCTATACAATCTGTAGAATACAATATTTCGTTGTTTGGGACATTTGATGATGGAATTGGTATTAGGCATGCCGGCTATTCATATTCTGGTCCTGCTGCCGCATACGCATTTGCGAATATAGACCCTACAGTCTTGTAAGATTCTTCACTTTTCTTCTCTTTACTTTGTCCCGCTTTCTCGGGGATTCGGTTCTGCATTTAAGAAAATTAGGTTTTGGTGTTTGCCTCTTGTTGAATATTTTGTTGTATCTATTTGTGATGCTAAGTTCAAGAAGCCTTTATGGTTGCAGTTGTCGGGTATTCCTCCTCGGCCCATCTCACCACTATTACACCCCAAAATGTGCTCTTTCAACCGCTACAGTGTACAGGACTCCCATTGGCGATTTACCCATTGATTTGGAAGGTATTGATTGTTTAAGTTTATATCACATCTAGGATTATGACAGGTTTAAAAGATTTGATGGTAGCACTTCTATCACCAGAGTACATTTTGTTTTTCTCTAGTCTATTATGAGAACTCTATCGTTGAATATGTTCGATTTAAACAAATATTGTGAGAGGTGATTGGTTTTAATTTACTCCGTAAACGTGCAAGTGAGCAATAAGCACACTAGAAAGATTTGTGGAGATGTTTGAGATCACTTGTCAAGGTTGCAGAATTTTCTTTGAGCATTCTCTGTATGAACTGTTTGTTTCATCTGCCAGTTATTGAGGAGCTAAAAGCTACTGGAAAATTTGAACTGATGAATCTCCGTGTTGATGAGGCGGAGCACAGCATGGAAATGCATTTGCCATATCTAGCTAAAGTATTTGAGGGGTAATAAGCGTTAAACACGTCTGCTATGGTTAAATTTAACTTGAAAATAATGTGCTACTAGTCTCCATTCTCAATCTTATCAACCACCAATGTCCAGGCATGAAGTAAAAGTTGTTCCCATCTTGGTTGGCGCACTAAGTGCTGAAAGCGAAGCCTTGTATGGACAACTGTTAGCCAAATATGCTGATGATCCTAGGAACTTTTTCTCTGTTTCCTCGGATTTTTGTCACTGGGGCTCACGGTATGTTCGGCTAGATTCACTCTATGCTATTTTGTGCTCGGTATGCACATATTGTGGGAGAATCTCCATCTTATATTGCTTCATTATCAAATTTAATATGCAATATATTCTTATTCTTCTGTGCTTACCGAGTACCCATCTAGTTGGGTCACTTATTATTGTACTGTCTCATGGCAAGCCTGTCTGTTTGTGAAAGTTCTTATATATGGGTTCCTGAAACAAAATGTACACATTGCGATATAGGTAGTACCATTATATTTCTTAATCTTTTTTCTGAGTGTTGCATTCATTTGCATCGGGTATACATTAACAAGACATTTTTTCAGGACTCCAATGTGCCTGAAGTTTCCTCATTTGCTGAGTCTTCGCCCTTGTCATTTCCAAACAACAGATCCTAATCCTTTTGGGGCCTTAAGCTTGTATTTCGTTTATGTGCATGTATTGATTAATCTTCGAATGCCTAACTATGGGCAGGTTTGATTACATGCACTATGACAAGAAACATGGTCCGATATACAAGTCCATTGAAGCCTTGGACAGGATGGGCATGGACATAATAGAGACAGGAGACCCCGATACTTTCAAACAGTACTTGCGGGAATACAAGAACACAATCTGTGGCCGCCATCCGATCAGTGTTTTTCTCCATGTGAGTCTAATCTCTGCTCTCTCCACTCTTATATATTTATACACACACACATTTTTGCCTCTCGTATCCACCGATGATTTCAGCTTTATGGCCGTCGGATTTGATACAACATGAAAACCTCTTTAAAGACATGGAAATTTCTGGGTTTTTTCTGGCTGACTACGATAAACATTCACGTGTTGTGTGAAGAAACTGACATTTGATTTCTGTATGGATTTGAAATCAGACGCTGAGAAATTGTTCGACGAAGATGAAGATAAAGTTCCTGAGATATGAGCAGTCAAGCCAATGCAAGAGCACACGGGACAGCAGCGTAAGCTATGCCTCTGCAGCTGCAACTAAGGTTGTCGACTCTTGAAACCCTCCTTTGTCCGAATAACGTTTTCTCCAAACTGTCTGAAATTCCAATCAAACTCACTTCATTCTAAGTAACAAAAATTTCCATTTTTCAAAGTCTTTGCCTTTCCACTTCCCATGGTTATGTCTGATTTGATTTAAGAATCCGTGTTATGTTCTTTGGGGATCAAACTCAATAAAACAAGAGAAAGGTAATGGCTGGTTTGGTGAAGCAAAATATGGAAGCATGTGTGCATAATAATATACACATAAATCTATAACATATAGTTTCCTGTTGTGTATGCTTTTATTAAACTGTTAGAATCTTGGATTTTGATTTCTTGGTGTTGTGAAATCTGTCCATTTGTTTTTTTTTTTTTTTTGAAATTATTTGGTATGAAGTTGTTGTCTTTGTCACGTTCAAACTGCGTTTGTTTCATCTGCCAGTTATTGAGGAGCTAAAAGCTACTGGAAAATTTGAACTGATGAATCTCCGTGTTGATGAGGCGGAGCACAGCATGGAAATGCATTTGCCATATCTAGCTAAAGTATTTGAGGGGTAATAAGCGTTAAACACGTCTGCTATGGTTAAATTTAACTTGAAAATAATGTGCTACTAGTCTCCATTCTCAATCTTATCAACCACCAATGTCCAGGCATGAAGTAAAAGTTGTTCCCATCTTGGTTGGCGCACTAAGTGCTGAAAGCGAAGCCTTGTATGGACAACTGTTAGCCAAATATGCTGATGATCCTAGGAACTTTTTCTCTGTTTCCTCGGATTTTTGTCACTGGGGCTCACGGTATGTTCGGCTAGATTCACTCTATGCTATTTTGTGCTCGGTATGCACATATTGTGGGAGAATCTCCATCTTATATTGCTTCATTATCAAATTTAATATGCAATATATTCTTATTCTTCTGTGCTTACCGAGTACCCATCTAGTTGGGTCACTTATTATTGTACTGTCTCATGGCAAGCCTGTCTGTTTGTGAAAGTTCTTATATATGGGTTCCTGAAACAAAATGTACACATTGCGATATAGGTAGTACCATTATATTTCTTAATCTTTTTTCTGAGTGTTGCATTCATTTGCATCGGGTATACATTAACAAGACATTTTTTCAGGACTCCAATGTGCCTGAAGTTTCCTCATTTGCTGAGTCTTCGCCCTTGTCATTTCCAAACAACAGATCCTAATCCTTTTGGGGCCTTAAGCTTGTATTTCGTTTATGTGCATGTATTGATTAATCTTCGAATGCCTAACTATGGGCAGGTTTGATTACATGCACTATGACAAGAAACATGGTCCGATATACAAGTCCATTGAAGCCTTGGACAGGATGGGCATGGACATAATAGAGACAGGAGACCCCGATACTTTCAAACAGTACTTGCGGGAATACAAGAACACAATCTGTGGCCGCCATCCGATCAGTGTTTTTCTCCATGTGAGTCTAATCTCTGCTCTCTCCACTCTTATATATTTATACACACACACATTTTTGCCTCTCGTATCCACCGATGATTTCAGCTTTATGGCCGTCGGATTTGATACAACATGAAAACCTCTTTAAAGACATGGAAATTTCTGGGTTTTTTCTGGCTGACTACGATAAACATTCACGTGTTGTGTGAAGAAACTGACATTTGATTTCTGTATGGATTTGAAATCAGACGCTGAGAAATTGTTCGACGAAGATGAAGATAAAGTTCCTGAGATATGAGCAGTCAAGCCAATGCAAGAGCACACGGGACAGCAGCGTAAGCTATGCCTCTGCAGCTGCAACTAAGGTTGTCGACTCTTGAAACCCTCCTTTGTCCGAATAACGTTTTCTCCAAACTGTCTGAAATTCCAATCAAACTCACTTCATTCTAAGTAACAAAAATTTCCATTTTTCAAAGTCTTTGCCTTTCCACTTCCCATGGTTATGTCTGATTTGATTTAAGAATCCGTGTTATGTTCTTTGGGGATCAAACTCAATAAAACAAGAGAAAGGTAATGGCTGGTTTGGTGAAGCAAAATATGGAAGCATGTGTGCATAATAATATACACATAAATCTATAACATATAGTTTCCTGTTGTGTATGCTTTTATTAAACTGTTAGAATCTTGGATTTTGATTTCTTGGTGTTGTGAAATCTGTCCATTTGTTTTTTTTTTTTTTTTGAAATTATTTGGTATGAAGTTGTTGTCTTTGTCACGTTCAAACTGCGTGGTTTTTGTTTGACTCTAGAGCCAGTTATTGTCTTACTTCCATGCGTAGAACTCTTTTTGTTTTTATGCGTATAGATTCATGTGTCATCATCATCATCATCATCATCATCATTTTGGAATTTAAAAGATAAAAGAAAATGATGGGGCTGGAGTGGGAACGTTGCTTGGTAATGATGACTCATGCATATTGGATGGGTCATCAGTTTAACGTTAATTTGGAAATTTGGACGTTGTGTTCCAAATCATTGGGATGTGTGTTTGTGGTTTTCCTTTGCCTCAAATCTTTTGGAATTTTGTAGAACGGTCGTGACTCGTGATGGACCATACCTTATCTTTAACTTTTTTTTTGTGGTAGAAAAGAATATGAAACTTTGATTCTTTTAGGGAATAGCATTAGTCTTTTGTATTTCTTTTTCAGATTCTTATAATAGATTTTGGTATAATAGATTCTTATATTTTTCTCTCATCTTCTGGTTGAATTTGCATTCATCTCATAAGCCTATGGCTCAGTTATTCCATCAACATCTTCTAACTCTGTTCATAACTAATCCCCCGTAAAAAAAAAAGACCTCACGTTGATAACTAAGGTTCACCTTGGTTACATGTCATCTGTAACGTGTGTTAAAAAAATTTCAGTGAATGAGAGAATATATATATATATATACATATGTATAAATTTTTTGTGTGGGGGAGTTTTGGAATGGGAATAATATGAGATGTATGGTTGTGAGAGCTATACAGAGTCAATATTAATAAGAGCAATATACGAATACGAACAAATTAGTGGCTTGTTTTGCTTCATCCACGCGAGAAAGAGAGAGATATTCACAGAGTACATGTGAAACCCATAGTTTTTTGTTTCCTTCCAATGATTTTTTTTTAATGAAAATTTTCCTTCCAATGATTCCAAGAAAGAGACATTAACCTTCACCTGACGCTCGTCTGTTCCGTCCTGAATTCGATCCTCAAGTTGGGGAAAGAGCGTATAATTCAAATCACATGGTTGGTTTTCGATCCCGAGATTAGTCTGTACTCGGTCGAGGATGTTCGGTTATAAAAAAAAAGACATTATATAAGAAGGCACGAGAAACGTAATCCCTTTGGAGCGTCTTCACATGTTCCAATCACATGTTCTGTCTGTGGGTCATTCCCCTCATCCATAACGTCTGTTTCTCCATCACCCATTTCATAAAGTTTGTCCCTTTTTTCTCTGAATTTGTTCATTCCTCGTGACTTTGGCATAATCAAACGCATTCATTCCTCTATGGAAGAAAACGCCGTTAACCTCCAACCCAATACAAAGACTATATATTTATATATCAGACATTTTTCGGCTGTAGAAAAAGATGCCAAAAGATCGTAACATGTTATGTACCCGGAACATGCAGATCTAGAGTCATCTATATCATGTTTTTTTATGGACGGTAATTCCTTTTTTACTACAAAAGATACTATTATAAGTATTATATAAGAAAAAAAAAACAATTTCAAAAATCAAAATTAGAGTTGGCATTTCTTGATATTACTCGATCGTAGTGGATATTATCAAAACTATGACTATATATGAAATCTGAAAATTGAGAAAAATAAAATGAATAATATCTTTCTCCTCTTCCCCTTTTTTCCACGATGTCTTTTTGCATTTGCCCTCATTGCAAAACAAAGTTTATCTCTCATTCTTCAATCAAAGCTCCCGCAAATCATTACACCCAATATCCAAAACTGATAAACCGAACCGTACATGTGGTTGCACAACACATTCCCAACATATACATACTTTTATTTTAATATATATGTATATGTATATGTATATGTGTGTGTAGTCATTTTACATGGAAACAAACAATTATAGGATAGGAGGCAAGTCTTTGTTTAAAAATTGGAACCTCCAACATTGGGAATATCCGGAGAAAAATGGGGCACTTAGAATGGCCATTATGCATTGCCACTCGGTCCATACCTATATATATATATATATATATAAATCAAAATTCATATGATTTTGTTGTTTTCCTTTTAAGGTCGGTTTGACCTAACGTAGATGGTGTGACCACAAACTTCGTGTCCATTACGATTGTATCGTTTTTTTTTTTACTAAAACTATCCACGGCAAAGTTTACGTGACGCAGTTGAGTTGACATAAATAATTCCAACTTTGTTGATTTTTAAAATGTTCAAATCTGATTTTTTTAAAAACTTATTAATTCTTCGAACATTATATAAAAAAAAGAGAGGCAATACTTCTATGTTTAAACATTATTCGATACCAAATAATAAGTTTGAGGAATAAAAAGTCATAATTTACAGAGAAACCCCCCCTAAACTATAACGGAAGCAAGTTGGAATATTATACCATTAAAAACTAATTCACAAAAAAATAAATATTAATTTTTTAAAAATTCTATAGATTGACATTTTCAACAAAATTATGGCCAAAATGATATCTATTTTTTTAAGTCTTTAGTAATAGTTATATAAATGAAGAGGTATTTTATGGGATTGGAATGAAATGTCGAAATCGTGAGGATATTTGTTAATTAATTAATTAATTAATCAAAGAGCATTTTTGGAGTTTGGTTTGGTTGAACATCATCATTCATCTCACACGCTTTGCACACTTGACCAACAGAACCCAACGCCATTATTTTCAGTCATTATCTCAACCAGATTTTCCACCTCTTCACGCCAACCGAGTCTAGATATTACATATTTCGAAACTAAATTTATTTAATTTTTTAATTAATTTTTTATTGAATTTATATTGAAAGAATATTATTGAAATTTTTTGTTTTTGTTTAAAATTTAAATTATTCTTATATTTAATTTACGTTTTATTAATTAAATGAATCGATTTTTAAATTTATTTTTAAACTAAATAATTTGATTTTATTATTTATAACCGTAATATTAACTCATACAACCGGTCCAAGTTGGCCTTAATTTAAGCGTGAATTTAACTTTCGAGATCTGCCTGTATATTTACTTTTAAATTTGTATAAGAAACTATTGTATTTTATTTACGGGGGGTTTTTTAAAATATAAATGATCTCCCCCCTAACTCAGGAAAATGCCTCATTACCTCATCGGATTTGATATGATCACATCTCACGATGCACATAGTGAGTTGCCATCTCACCAAAAGTAATAAAAAAAACAATCAAAATTAAATTTATTATATTCACATTCCCTACATAATTACTTTTGTTTTTGCCCCCCAAAAAATCGGTGATTGAAATCTCATATTTACGGAAGTCATATAAACTAATAAACGTTATTAATTACTCCCTCCGTTTCAAAATATTTGTAGTTTTAGTTTATTTTCCATGTTTCAAAATATTTGTCATTCTACATTTCCAAGATAGTTTTTTACAATAGTTTCCAATTTTATCCCTCCCAAATTCCAATAAATTATTAGTGATAATATTATTTTTATCATTAAATAAGGTTATATGTGTCTTTTTCTCTATTTTCTTAAAAAATGTGAAAAATCCTAAAACTACAATTAATCTGAAACGGAGGGAGTAGAAAATAGTATGCAATCGACTAATAAAGAATTATATTGATTTTTATTTATGATATTATTAAACATTAAATGATAAATAATTAGTAAAAAAAGAATAGGGACATCTGTACCAATCTGTCTGGGCGCATAAAGATTTCTCTAGTGGTATGTTTAAAAATTTTAAAAACATAATCTTCCAGATAAGCAAAGACGTGCATGCCCACTCTGTGGGCTTTTTCTGTGCTCTTTAATTTCTTCCTCCATTTAATAATGCCCCTTATACTTTTATTTTCCCAAAGTACCCTCCTTTATCTCCTTAATTTTCACTTTCTGCCATCTCTTTTTTATTTCCCCTTTCTGGGGTTGCGATCCACGAATTTCTTTCACATGTTCATACCGGTGTTTGATTTTGAACTTCAAGGTCGTTTATTGTTTTAATAAACCATTAAGATTGAACTTAATTAAAATTTTCTATTTTCTATTTTTTCTGATGTTATTTATTAATTTATTTCTCAATCCATGTAAATATGAAATACCCAAAGTGTCAGGCTCTGTTTTCGTTTCAACTCCTCCCACAAGATTTTTCGGGTCAACTTCTCTTTAGGTTTAATTTTATGTTCGTTTTCAGTCCATAAAATAGTTTCCCCAATTTTCCTTTCTCCCTCCTGTCCATATTTCGCATAAAGATTCGCTCAACGGCTCTCCATCGAACGCAACCTGCAAAAAGAAGGAAACCAAAAAAAAACACCAAACAAACAAGGAAAGAAATCGAATGAAACATAACGAAATAAATAAAAAAGGAAAGAATATATACCTTACACGTAACGAGAACCTGGAAAATAACGGATGTCATAACGGACGAGACGGCAAACCGGACGGGTCAACGGAAGACGGGAAAGCTGACGGAACGCATGACGGTGAACCCAACGCTGTGAACACAACGAACGAGTTCAACCTCACCGATACACAAACTCCAACCAATCTCTCTCGATGGCAAATTTGAATTCAAATGATTCCACAGTCCTTTGTAGTCCAATTACCGGTTCAGTTAGGGTTCTGATTTCGAATTTAGGTCATTTGGGAGTCCGAAATTGTGCGCTTCAATAGCAACATGAGTATGTACAATGCATCTCTCATCATCACCCAACAAAAAAACTTTATCACGGTGCCTCGTTTTGTCTCCGTTTACAAAACACGGTCCGGGTTGGCTCAGCACCATCGCCGCAGATTTCGCGGCGTCTTGAC